CAATAAAGAGTATTTGTTTTTGTTTTTTGTTAAAGTAATTTTAAGAAAGTTTTTTGATATTAAAAAGTTTTTAGTTAGATTTGTATTTATATGTTAAAAAAATTTGAAGAATTTGATCGAGGGTTCAAGGAGTTTAATTTGTATAATATATTTGTTTGGTAATTTTTGGAAGCTAAAATGTTCTCTTAGTTTGTGGATTTTTGATATAAAATTAGGAGTTCTATTTGTATGTGTTTTTCTTTGAGAAGTTTTTTGAGTTCAATAAAAGTAGGAAGTTGAGGCTTGGTGGAGATTTGGATTTAACTGTCAGGTATCCTTAAGAACTGATAAGATTGATAGGTTTTTGATAATGTTGGGACAAACATCAAATTTTTTTGTAATTGAAAAATTGGTTTCTGCTTTTTCGTTTACTTTATGGTAGTCATTTGGAAGGAAAGGTTTGTTTAAGAGAATAGTTTGTTCATTGTTGTTTGTATTATTAGCTTAGTTTTGAATTGGACTTGAAGTTTGGCATAAAAGAAGGTTGATCTATTCTTTGGAGAGGGGTTGGTAAAGATGTATTTTTTGACTAATGTTTTGAAAAATAGAGTAATATCATTGGGATTTGTTATTGGAAGAAGTATGTTTGTTTCAAGTGAGATTTCAGAAGAAGAGGAGGAGAGTTTTGTTCTGATGAAGAAAAAGCCATTAGGTAGAAATTTGAAATAATAGGTTTTTCTGAGTAAGATTACAATTTATTGTAAGGTGAAGTTGCTATCCCTTGGGTTAAATAGAAAAAGATGCTTATATTTGGGATTCAGGAGTTGGTATATTGTTGGAAGTGGTTTTTTTGGTGGTGGAAGATTAAAATATGTGTTGGGTAGTTTGGATAGAACTTTGTATTCTTTACGTAAGAGATTTTTGTAGTTGGAAAGATTGTTTAGATCATTTCTTTTTGTAATAGAAAAGATATCCATGTATTTGATTTATAAATTGTTTGGGTTTTCCAGAAGGAGAGAATTTTTCTTAAGCTAGGTGTCAAGAAGTTTGTCAAACTTGTAATGAGATCCTAAAATATAGAGAGTTGTGATTAAATTGGCTTTGTCATTTATTGGAAGTTTTGTGGAAAGTTTAATTCTGATTTGTGATGTAATTTCAGATGGTTCAAATGGAAGATTAGGAAGAGAGTCAACAAGATATTTCTTGAGTTTGTTTCTAAGTATGTTATAATCAAGAGTAAAGGTTGATTTTTTGATAAGATAGTTGATGAGATAGGTAAGAAGGTTTGCTAGTTCATAGTAGAACATGTTTTTGATATCGATGGTATATAGGTAAATGATTGATAGAATAATATAGATTATAACACAGATTTTTTTTTTGGTTTCAAATTTGATAAAGTGTAGATTGTTTTGTTTTTGTATTTGTCCTGAAAATCTTTTTCAATTTCGATGAATTCTTTTTGGTAAGCTGGCATGAGATTTTCTTTTTGGGTGAAGGAACTAAAGAAAATACAATCTTTGAAACTGATTTTGTTTATTATTGCTTTTAGGTGATAGAGTGGATATTTGGGAAGTTTGATAATAGTGTCGATGGTTTTGATAATGATTTGTGTGTCATTTGATACACAAAAAAGATTGTTGACTAGTTTTTCGATGTCAGCTCTGAGAGTTTCATATTGTTTATTATTTCTGATTTCTTGGAGTTCTGTTTGAACTTGTTGTTTGAAGGAGAATGACCAGGTGTATGGTGTGGTTTTAGATTGGAAAGAGGACTCAGCAAGTTTGTCAAGATTGATTATTTTGTTAATTATCATTAGATTGATTGGCTTGTAGAGAGAATTTTACTAATGTCCATGCTGAAGTTGGAAGTTGTCATGTGGTTATCAGAGAAGAGAGTTGGGATGACTTTTGTTTGGTTAGTTTGTTTAGGCTTGACAAGGTCCAGGTCAAATAATTTCATTGGTGTATTTATTGTTATGCTAATTTCTATAGAATTGCTAGATTGAATGAGGGTTGAAGTGATGGGCAGGGGGTTTGCATGTGCATACATTGTAGCTGTTTGATCAATATTTCTTTTTTTGGAGAACAGAAGAAGTGATAGATGAACAATCATTTTCAGGGGTAAGCTGGTTGAGATTTTTGCTTGTTTTTCTTGAGAGATAGAGAGAAATTCTTGAAGATGGTTGTAAAGTTTGATGTTTAATTGAGTTTTTTCCATTTATTCCACTATATTACTAATGTATTAAAAGTTGAAAGGTGTGTTTCTGGTATTGAAGAGAGAAATATGGGTTTGGGAAGTCAGTCTTGTTCCCTTTTTTGTTAGTATCTATTGAAAATTTGAGAATGTGAATGTCATTTGTAAAGCCTGTTTTCACAATTTTTTCAATGTTTTTCTTTTCTCTTATGATAAGGAATTGGTTGGGAAAGTTTGTTAGATTATATATAAAGAGGTTTCTTGCAAATTCTGTTTTGATAATTTTGTTATTACTGAGGTCAAGATAGAAAATTTGAAAGAGTTGATTTCAATCCTGGTAAATTGTTGTTAGTTGTGGGTGCTCCATAGTAAGAGTTATTTAATGGTTGTGAGTACTTGGAAGTGCTTGAAAAGCAAGAGTTTTCTTGGAAGGGCTATTATCAAATAAGAAAATTTTCAAGTGAAAAATGATTTATGGAAAAGAGTTTTTTTTTACATTACTAACAAATTTTATTGTTAGCTTTATATATTGCAATAATAAAAATAATTCTCATTTTTTTTCAATATTATTCTTTTTTATTTGAAACAAAAATCCAAAAATTTAATACAAATAACTATATTTTTATTATAAATTAAATTTTTTTTAATTTGAATTGCATTTAAACATTTACTTAATTTAGTAAGTCTGGCTATATTTTTTTTATAACATTCAATAAATATTCTTGATGATCAAGACTTGATAAAGTGTTTATATTGCCTGCTTTTTCTTTTAAATTTTTAATTCTTAAAACAGAAATACGACTTGTTTCTTTATAAAAAGCAATATCATAGCTTGAATAATCTTGAAGACAAATAAGAATTTTTTTTATATATAATAAAATGTGAAAATTATTGTTCCATAAGAAAAAAATAGATTGTTTAAAATTTATTAAAAATATACATAAATTATTAAATTTAAGTATATTTAATTAAGACAATAAATATTATAAAATTTAAATTAATTATATAATTTTTAAAACATAAGATATTATAATTTAAAATTTTTAAATGTGATGGAACAATAATAATAATGGAAGTCATTATATCTATTTACTTTACGTTTTGCAAACCATTTACTCTATCTTATTCATTTTGCGAATTCATTTACTCCACCCATTCCATTTCATGTTTTGCGAATCCATCAACATTTCATAAACCTAACCATTTGATCTCATGTTCTATGAACCTACCTATCTACTTCACGTTTCACGAACATTCACTATTTTGTAAACTTATAATATTTCCCAAGATATTTCGCGAACCAATTCACCTTGCCTCACATTTCACGAACCAATTCACCTCGCTTCACGTTTCGCAAACCAATTCACCTCGCCTTACGTTTCGCAAACCAATTCATCTTGCCTCACATTTCCCAGACCAATTCACCTTGCCTCACGTTTCGCAAACCTACTTATTCCATTTCACGTTTCGCAAACCAATTCATCTCGCTTCACGTTTTGCAAATCAATTCATCTTGCCTCACGTTTTGCAAACCTACCTATTCCACTTCCCGTTTCGCAAACCCTTTACTCCATTTCACTTTTCGATACCTGCACATTTTATCTTATATTCACTTTTCGCAAACCTATCCATTTTACTTTACATTTCACGAACCTTTTTATTTCACCTTAATTTTCGCTAACGATTCATATTTCACGAACCTACCTATTCTACTTTACGTTTCGCGAACTCATTTATTCATTCCACCTTACCTATCCATTCACTTTATTTCGCGAATTCATTTACTTTACCTCAAGTTTCATGGACCAACCAATTCACTTCACGTTTCGCAAACTCATTTATCTCATGTTTAATATCCCGCAAACCCATTCATTCCACCTCACGTTTTGTGGACCCACTCATTCTATTTTACGTTTTGCGAACTTATTTTACTCCACTTCACATTTCGCAGATCAATCCATTTACTCCACCTCGTGTTTCGCAAACCAACCCATTTACCCCACCTCACGTTTAGTACTCCAAGAACCCATTCACCTCACGTTTCGCAGACCCACTCGTCTTACTTCACGTTTCGTATACGTATATACTCATTCTATCTCACGTTTTACAAGTCTATTTATCTTACTTTACATTTTGCAAACTTACCAATTTCATATCACGTTTTGCAAACATTTCACTCCCACGAACCAATTCACTTCGCTTCATGCTTACAAAATCATTTACTCCACCTTATGTTTTGTAAACCTACTCATTTTATTTCATGTTTGCGAATCCATTCATTTCACCTCACGTTTGCAAACTTATTCACTCCACATTTTGCAAATTAATTCACTTGCCACATATTTCACAGACATTTACCTCACGTTTCATAAACCTATCCACTTTTAATTACGTTTCACAAACCCGCCTTTTTTACAAATTCACCTATTCTATTTTAATATTTATGATATATTTCATGAACCGATAATATAAAAAATATTTATGGTGCATACAATATACAGTATATTAATGATAGATACAGTATATGTCACTATTAAAATATTCGGGATAGTTCATACTGTTATCGTTGTTCCTGGCGAGTCTGTCACTAACCCAGGACCAGCACTTGCGTTAAGGTAAGTCTTCTTGTTTGAGTCGTGTTACGATTTGGCCGGTGGTTCCTTTATTAATTGACGAAGCTAGAAAAATATCACAAAACTATAATGCTAGTACTAAGATAAGATTATCGATAAATTCAACAAAGGATTAATTTTATGATAATTTTTTTTTATGTTAGCCAACTTTGGTATAAAATATTTGGACCTTTATTTTACCGTCTCACGGGCCTTATGTCGGGGAGTACATTAAAAGGGGGAGGTTAGTAACGTAATACAGAAGACCAATGTATACAGTACAGTATGAATTAAATTCTAGAATCAGAGAAGTTTGAGTAACTGTGTGGCGTATTTTTTCGTTTTGGCAACATTTATCACCAGAGGATTACATATACTCAAGGTAGTAAAAGGTTAAATGACCATCAATTCTGATCAATATTATTATCAGAAATTACTACCTAAGGAGTTTCGAAATCTCCGCAATCCTGCAAAATAAATATAAAATATTATAAATAAGAAAATGCCATGTCCTTGGTGCAGAAGCATCGATTGCTACGGTTATTGTCAAACAGAAAGGAGAAATCGGGGAGAATGTCGTGATTTTTATTGCCAAATGGCTGGCCATACTGATAGAGATTGTCCAGTTTACCAATGTCGGGAAGAGAAAAGAAAACAAGAAATTGAGGAAGCTAAAAAACAAGTCGAAGAAGAGAAAAGAAAACAAGAAACTGAGGATGTCGAAAAAGCCCCCCCAAATCAGGAAGATAAAATTAAAAAATTAGAAAAAGAAAAACAAATTAAAATTAAAATTAAAAAGTTTTTTTCTAGTATCAAAAAAATCTTCGTTGTGGAACCAAAAACAAAAACGAAGAAGACACCGAAAGAATTAGAGCTTCAACCTCAAGCTCAAATCCAAACCTCTACTAAATAAAAAATAGGAGTTTATCTCCCCTATATCTAATTAACGTTTTCTTTAGAACTTATGTATTTATAAAGTATTAATCATAAAGTCTGTACCAATTGTGATCACAAAGTAGTCGGATTCCATTGTCTTTGCCCTCAATGTCAAGAATATTTTAAAACCAGTTAGAACAAAGAGTTCAGCAAAAACTTCCTGATTATCAAAAGGAAATAAAATTCTTAAATTCTTATGAAACTAATTATTTTTTATAATCCGTTTTACAAAAAAAAATTTTTCATTTGCATTATCTATCTTTACTACAGTAGTCCAGATACTTAAACGCACATAAACGCACATAAACGCACATAAACGCACATAAACGCATCGCATAAATCAGTTTTTTTTACATAATACACTAATATAAACGATGTCTCCCCACGCTTCCTCACCCATTTCTTCACTCGTATTTGAATCCTCTACAATAACAGAAGAAAGGTCAACTTGATGTGATCAAGAAATAAAACGGAAACGGAAATACTTTTCGATTATTTGCGGAGGCCGACAACTAATAATAATTTTTGACCTTCTACTCACTAAGTTTATTTTTATCATAAAAATTTGATTAACGGTCCTTGATCTCATCATATCCTCAGTTTCGTCTCAAGTTTTCGATAATTTCCTCAGAAAATCTTAACTCTTGGATATTTTTGAATTATTTTTTTCATTGGGATTATCTATAGTTGGAAGTGAAATAAATAAAGGGATATGTTTATTATCTAACTCATTTTCAAAAGAGTTCGTAGCATTTAGAGTCTACTTTCCTTTTGGTGACACATTAACCTAATGCGTTTTTAATCTCTTCTTGTTCGCCTAAATATTCTTTTCTGTAACATTTGACGCCAAATTCTGTGATAGTTTAAGACGAGCCTCAATTAACAATTCGGAATTTCCGTATATGGAAGAATTAGATGCATTTTTGTCAGACACCTCTTTATAAATAATCGCTTTGACGTAATTTTTAACTTTGGATGCTGTCCCCATTGGATTTCGTTTCGACAAAGATCATCTAAAAATTTAACCGCACCTTGGTATATGCAGGCAAGCTGTCCCAAGCGTTGGCAAAGGCCTATTAAAAACTACCTGTTCTTATTATAAGGACTCTGACGAACAAACTGCTCGAATTTATTCAATTGATTTTCTTGAATAAAAATATCTATAAATTGTAGAGCTAAATACCATTGCCTTATCTGTTTAAACCCTACTTCTTGACAAATATATTCTACTCTTCTTAATTTTTGAGCCTTCTCGACTAACTCTCGAATGCGACTTGCAACCTCATTAAAACCATCAAATGCTTCATTGAACTCTTTAAAGGTACCCAGTAATTTACTTTGGTCTAAAATTCTAGCCGCATTAACTAAGTTAATAGTTCCACTAGCAATTTTAAAATAACTTCTTGCCATAATTTTTCATCAATTGAGATATATAACAATCCCTGGCAGGTGTAGTGAGCATAGTAAATCAATGTCAGATTATCTTTTAGACTTTTTAACTCTTGAGCTGTTGATATAATGTCGCATGCAGCTTCTTACTATTGATACCTTTAACGCCTATCTGTATCATAATGGACAGAGTGTTTGTAATACTGTGATTCGCTCATTGTCTTATTTATGCAGACCTTCAATATGAGAATGTAGGATCTTTAACATCGCCACTAAATTTCCTGTGCCAGCCTTCCTGGTAATCAGGGGAGTTGGACATGTTTTGAATTACTCGAGTCAAGCAAATCAAATGTTGAATTTTTAATTTCCTGAATACCTAATTCTAACAATTATTCATATATTTCTTTAATTGAAATGAATGCTGGGTGTAATGGCGAGTCTTTCGCTAACTCTAGCAGATATTCGCGTAACTTCGTCAGGTAAGTGAACTAAAGGGTGATTTGAGGCGTGTTTTATTTGACCAAGTCTTTATTAATTTTTTTCTCTTTTTTTCTTAACTTTTCTTCCTTTTCTCTATACTTTTACATGTTATTTATACCTTTCTTTACATTTGGCTATGGCGTCTTGGGCATAAAATAATAAGCGATAATACAATGACATGGCTAACCTAGATTACATAATTCTTTTTTACAATCCTTCCCATCCCTCTTTATTACCTAATGATTCCATTATCGCGATGATCGATTACGTGACTGACGTCGCGTTCTGTTACAATGCCAAGAAGACGATCTTGTTAATTATTTCTTCCGTTTTAATCTCTCTCTTAGCGAATATTTCAATAGTCTTTAGGGCTAGTTTTATTAGTTGCGGCACTTTTTCCTGAGAATTATCATTAGGCAGTAGATAATATGTCAACTCCTGAGTGCTTCTAATATTATTCATGTCATTTATCTTCAGATGTGGCTCAGATGTTACTAGAGGATCTTGAATAAAAACTCCATTTTTGGTAAAAAGGTCAGTGCTATTCTCTCTATTAAAGAGGTTGATGGTACAATATAATTGGTAAAAGAACTTCCTATAGGTATGTTTTCTGCTTGCATGGGTTTTATTAATGTTTCAGATTTGATCAATGCTTTGCTTTATTTTGGTCTAAAACGGCTCACTCTTCGCGTGACAATAATCTGAACGCTTGGATTTCGGCACTAAATAAGGTAAGGACTTGCTAACTTGTTCTTGATCGTCTTTCCCTAGGCGCGTCTCATGATTGCAAGTGTCACTCTCTATACGTGGCAAAAAGGTAACGTCGCATCTCACTTTTAAAGGCATCTACTTTACTGTAGTGGCGTAGACTTAGTTTATACTTTAGGGAGTGGAAATATTATTGCGCGAAGTAGAATAGCATTTATTTTAATGAAGCGCGAAAGATACAGGAGTGTTCCAAGACTAAATTCTAAAATATCCGACTCTAAAAACTACATAAACTATCCTATTTATATGCTTTGTTGACGCGTCCCTACTCATTACATGCTATTACCAATTATTACGTCCCTCCCACAACAATAGCAAGTATTATCATTGTTTATTTCTCCTAAATATTTGTATATGTCACCTCGTTCTCGGCTATGCCATCTTTCTACGTCGTGAAATAGGAGGATCCATGAGCCTTGAATTCTTCAATTGCCTTTGATAAGCACCTAACACTTCCTTTAGATGACCATCGGATTTTTGCTTTCTAGCATTTGCTAATTGGGTTTTACCCTTTTTGTAATGTTTGTCAAGCATATTTATTTTAAATTTTTTAGTATTTTGAGGAAAGGTTGACATCTAACTAAATCGTTACGCATTATTCTGCAATTATATAGTTTTTTTTGTACAAAAAAGTATTACAAAATATAGGATTTTATTACGTACTGGACGACAGCGTATGTGTCACCAAAAATCCATACGGCAAACCAAGAATGTCAATAAGACTTTATTAAAAACGGTTTTCCTATATAAGCGTCATAACGCATAATGTTGTTCAAAAAATAAGATTCTATTACGAACAGGACGATAATGCGTGGGTCACCAAAATTTATCCATTTACAAAGATTATTTAACTATATATGCATTTGGGCTTAAAGAATGTCAATAAGGCTTATTTAAACGTTTTTCCAATTACTATAGTTGGGACTCGGTTAAAACGTATACCCATTGTACTATTACATACGAAAAAAATTTATGCGCCTAAAAGTAATGGGTCTAACATGTTCGAAAAGAACAAAGTTTTTTAAACTGATTATTTTATAAAATTTTGGTGACAAAATAATTTTTAAATTTTAATTTTTTTATCTATAAATTTTATTTTAACAAATAACAGATTCTACTGTAATATTAAAACACATGTCTTAATTTAAATCATTTAAATATGATATTATATATTATTATAAAAAATATATTAAAAATTAAAAAAAAAACAACTTTATTCTAATTATAGTTAACTTTAAAATTATTTTTTCAGTATTGGTCTAGTTAAAAACAATTTAAATTTTTTTAAAAAATTACAAACAGGCATTAAATATGTTAAATACCAAGGTTACTGTTATTATATTAACAATTTTTATATTGTAAGTTAATTGCAACTTATTGCAACAATATCATTTATATAAACTTGCACAAATAGATAAGTTTATGAAAATAATGCTGAATAGCCAATGTCTATTCAGAATAATAAATTATTGTTGATATAAAAATTTGTTAACATAATTGTTTAAAGATTGTAATATGTTTAAATTTTTAAAATTATGAAATTATTATTTTTATCTAATTTGTTTATATTTGCACTATTGATTTTTTTCCATTTTATATTTAATGTTAAAAAAGCAATTGTAATAACAGATTATTGTTTCCATGTTTTATAAAGAATTTTAAGCATGTATCAAAGGTTTTCTAAACAAGTAATTGATTCTTAATCTTATTATTTTCTTTATTTCTTTATTATTATTTTTTTTATTTTCAATCAATTATTTTTTTTATTTATTTTTTTTAAAAAAAATCTATAATTTTTGTATCAGTACAAATAAATTGAAACAGTAAAGTTCAAATATTCGAATATTTTATTTAATTTGGGTTTTTCTATAATAAAAAGTTGTTGCTGTCAATTGATAAGCCAGATTATAATCATATTATAAAGTTTTTCATTATCAATGTTAATAATAATAAATAGGAAATATCAATGTTATTTTTTAATTAAATTGACAAAAAATTAGCAAAAAAAGAAATAGAAATCTTATCAGTCAAAGAATTTTTATAATAAATTCATATTTTTTGTATATACAGTGTGTAACAAAACTTTTTGGAATTTTATTTACATGACATAAATGTAAATAACTTTTTCAAAACAAATGCAATTCACGTGAAATTTTAAACATGTAAACAACATATCTTAACAAATATATATATACCATTAAATTTCTCAACTTGTTTTATTTTTTTTATAAACTTATCCTTACAATGTTATTTTCTGAAAAACATATACAACGTCAAACTATATTACATTTGTGGAAGAATGAAATTACTTCTGCAAATGAAATATATTCTAGAACTGGCATAAAGTAATGCTTGATTTTTATATGATTTATATAAGAAAATCGGACGTTGCTTTTTCGGGTGACTGTACATACTGTATATTCTTGATCGAACCAAGATCATGGCTAAGTTAAATGAATTTCCGACTTATTTCAGGCAGAAATATTCACTAACACTCTTATAGAAATTCCTGTATTTGATGTCCCAGAAATTGTTACACCTCGAGTGGGAAAAAAATAATCCAGTCATCGAGCCCTAATTGCATTGAAAAAGGTAAGGGCTTATCACTTGCTCTTATTACCAACACGATCCAAGGCTCCTTTAATTTTATACGAGCAAAAGCCCAATTGCTTTGTCATATAAGTCTATTAAATATTTCCGCCCAAAGACCTTGAATGTAGAAATTGTGAGTGATCAAGTTGAATCTTCTATGGAGAATGTCAAACCAAGTAATCGTGAAATCGAACCATCTTTAATGCTCATGTAAACGATGAAGCCGAATCTAGAAATAAAGGTATTTCCAAAGCTGTAACATACCCTCATGTATACATACCTCGAGAACAGAAAAAGCAATTAAAGCAATGGGCCATCAACCACGGTGAGGATCCAGATGTCTTTATGACTTTTACAGATAAAGATAGAGTTGAAACGAATTTATTGTGATAGGTTCAGATGCAAACATGACACAATTCGCGAAAGACACTGATGAAGATCTACCAAGTAAAAGGAATTCACTCCTTTATTATCTCTTTTTACTCTCTCTCTTCTTTTTTTTTTAATAAATGAGTTAGAACGCTTGTTATAATTAAAAGTATGGCGAAATTGATTACCTAAGGTCTTTTCATTATTTTCTCTTATTATATAATATTTGATTACAATCATTCCAATTAAATAATCACTTGTCTAATTCCTCCTTATTACAACATATAAGTTGCATATCGCCGGGTCTCTCTCGGTCACGTGAAGGGCGTTTTATCTATTTTTTTGAACGGTAAAGTAAAGAATCATATTTCACGTATAAAATATGGAATCAATGATTTAATACTCCTAGTAAATTCCAGTCATTTTAAACTGCAGTCCGTATAAGAATAAAAACTCCTTATGTTCCGAAAAAATTACAACTCAAAAGTCAATATACTCATGCAGAAAAGATCTAACTTATTAAATAACAAAATTCGTTGGATCGGTGACATCTCAGACACCTCCTGAAATATGTGATTATGTAACAACTCTGATACATTAGGGAACTAATCACGAAATTGATCTGTGAACATGCCTTCCATCTTAAATGTATTATTAATTCTCTAAAAAAACAAAAACGGACACGGATTGCTCAACTGTCATCAGCCTATCTATTTTGACTGTGAGAAAATTTTAGATAAACAAAAAAAAATCGGAAAGTAGAAAGAATTATCGCATTTATCAGTAGTATTTGATCGAATACCCGTCCCAGAAAACGGAAACGTAGAAACTCTTCAGATTCTCAAATGAATCTTACCCAACTACACGATGAAATTCTTAAAGCTGGGAAGAATATCGATAACCAAACACGTACGGTGGCTTGCATAAAATACGCAATTATTGTCTCGCTATCTTCTTGGAGAAAAAAGTCTGTGATGTTAAAGAATAGAGGCTCACTCCACACAGTTCAGATTTTTCTTAATAAAGAAATATTTTAAAAAAGAGGAAACGCTCGATACTAAATATTTCCAAGATTTTTAATACCGAAATATAAGTAGAGATAAGATTCGACGAATTAGATCTTTTACTCATTCGAATATTGAAAAATTTACCGATACTATAAAATTATTAAAGAAAGAGATAGATTTCTTTTTTCTTCAAAAAGTGAACACGTGATCCTATTGATATCCCTTGCACAAGAAGTCTAACCAAATTTATTAAGTAAACGAATTTTTTTCGGACTCGCCCCTACGATTTAACCGGGGAAAATTAGTATGCCAGTAAATTTGATAAATTTAGAATGGCTCATTTTCTTATAAATACAGTACCATCAAATTCTGATCTCGTAAAAATTTATCAAGTCTATATTCATCAAAATATATCATTTCTTCTCAAGTCCATATTCATCATAAAAATGGTCTCTATTACTCCACTCAAGATTTTTGTTTTCTTTTTTATCTTCACGTTTTTGGTCGTGGAAGTCTATCCTCAAATTGCATGTTTGAGCATTAAGGATCCATGCCAGTCTTGCATCTGTTCATGCAAAGAACATGAACCCGAAGCAGAATGTACTGCTACCACCCGCTGTGCGTCTTCGTGTAAAGCCATCGATCAATAATCGCCTCATATCACGTAAACATTTCTTAAAGAAATTAAAAACTGGTATATATATTTAAATTTCGTCTTTTTATTTCCGTTCTTTTACATTAAAAATTATTTATACCGTATACATGTTTTCGTTTGTTTGTTATGCATTATTTATCAAATTAGCTTTGACAACTTTAATCAGAAATATGGTTAAAGTGTATTTATTGTATCTATGTATACACCGTCTCCCAAAAAGAACGCAACATCTGGTAGTCGATCTTTAAGTGTTAAAATTTTGATCAGATCACAATGAAATTAATAGTATACACAGTACAGTGTAGTGATGAAAATAATAAAAAAATTTTTATGATGCAATTAATAAAAATTTACTGTTGCACGATTTTTGACATTTTTTTGTAAAAATATAACAATGCTCAAACCTTGTATAAACCAAATGTCCTGAAGACTGTATAACAGGGAGAAGTGGAACGCGACTTCGGTCACGTGATCAATCGTCGCGACAATGGTGAATTGGCAAAGATAATTAGGTAATAATGGAAGGATAGAAAGAATTATGAGAAAGAATTGTGTAATCTATAAATATTAATGTCAATACAATTCAAAGATTTCTTAAGAAAAATAGATTTAAAGCATATACATAACATAAAAAAATCCAATTGGAATTTATAAGATTACATAAAAATTGAATTATAAAATATTGGAATTTATAAGATTACATAAAAATTGAATTATAAAATATTGGAGTATGATGATTTAATTTAATAAACTAAATTTTAATCCTTTGTAGTAAAAGAATATAAATATTACTGAAAAAAATTTCCAGAACCTTTAAAGAATCAATATATAATTCCTACAACTAAATTTAATAAAAATAACATTAATATATAGAATATTTTACTTATTATAATATAAAATATTTATCTAGAATTAAAGAAAATCTTAATACAAAATGTTATAAACAAATTTTAAAAAAAGAATTAATATATTTATTAAGATATTATAATTTAACTTCCAAAAATATTATATTTTAATACAATAATAATTCTAAATATAAAATTAAAATAGTTTGAAAAAAATGATTAAAAAATAACAAAATTTAAATGATTTCTTAAATTTAATAAAAAATATTTGAAATAATATAAAAAGAAGAGTTACTGATTTAGATACTTATTAATATTAATAATAAAGAAACTCTCTAAAAATAATTTATCAGAGATTTGAAATAAAATATCTAAAAAAAACTTGTAAGAAATATATAAACCAGTACTTAAAATATTATTAATATTATTAATATTACAAAAGATAATTATATAAAATAATAATAAAAATTAAATTTATTTATACAATTCTATATACTGTTATTGTATATTGTTTCTGCTTCAGAAAAAAAATAAAGATAAAGAATTAGTAACATTAAAATATTTTGTTTGAAAGAACCAATATAATATATTAAGGTTTCTAAAATATATCAAAATTAATATAGTTTAGAGATATATAAGATCAAATAAAAAAGCAATAATGATTTATTTTGTAAATATCAATTTGTTTATTTAATAAAATAAAAATTTAATCCTAACAATTTCTAAGTGAAATTTAAATTCTTATATATATATTTAAGTTATATTCTCATACAGGATAAGCATATGCTATAGTATAAATATAAGTTAAGGTATAAATACTATTTTCATTAAAATATTTAAATATGTTTTTTTTTTTTTTTTTTTTTTTTGTAGGTAAACATCATTTCTTTATTTGGTTTGTATATAGCAAGGTATACATTGTGAAAGAAACAACATCTCTCATATGTTAGTACAATGAGTTAAATGCTAGCTTGCCTACAGTAACCATACGACTAAT